TTCAAAGTTCGCCAACTCCTGGTTCAACGACCCGCCGAAGAAGGAACACTCACGGGATCATCCTATCGTTCCAGTCCCGCTTGAACTTGAACTTGCTTATCGTTAGAAAGTCGCGCCGGGTTTATGGTTCTCCATATCTTTTGCCGAGGTGTCGGGTGGTTTTTTATCACGTGCATAAGTAGAACATTCCGGAACGTTCGAAATCGATGCGATAATCGTTAATAATCAATTAATCGCTAAAATAGTGGATTTCCAAGGCAATTCTTATTTCCTCCCGGACAAGAAGGGGGACACCACGTTGCGGAATGCTTCTTCCTACGCCTGAAGTTAGTGGTCGAAATAAACAGTCGGTTGTCTTCGCACAATATGAGAAGTCTCTCTCCGTTATCAGAGCGGTTCTCATCGAGCGCGTGATGACCACCAAGGTGGCGTTCGTATGGTAACAGGCAGCCGACTCGTGACTTAGGATCCCCAGCAAGGATAACGACATCCGACCTTTAGCATTAGTCAAGAGCTGTTGTAGATCTCGGTAGAATACGTCCTTGACCGGGTCTGTAGCAGTCTGGAGAGTCCCTGGTTTGCCTGTGTAAAATTCTAACTAAAATTATTTCATGGTACACTTAGGCAACCGGTGTGGTTTGTTGAACTGATTGCTGAGTTCGAATGCTTGACGTGCTCATCGCCACTTTTGCTTGGCGCTCGTTTCGGTTGCAACTGTAAACATCTACGACATTAGAGTCTATAAAAACGGACACTAAACTGAAACCACCGATGTCCATGGAGCGTTCGGTAAATACTCCTCGTCGCGGAGACTCGTATACCGACTGCAGTGTTATTTTCAGAAACGCCACTGACTCTTTGCTGTTCTCCCAAAAGACCGTATGCTAGATGACCTTAAGTGGTTTAGAGTATGCATTACCAAACTTCTGCCTCTCGGCTTCCCCGGTGTGACTGTGCGCAAACTAACCAGACTCGGTAACTTGCCAGCCGACAAGTCTCGCCCTCGCTTGTTGCGAACTGTTCTGTCCACTCCGGAGGGGCGCCAAGCACTTCTGCGTTTCGCCTTTAAGCTCAAGGGCACTGGTGTCATTGTGCACCCAGACCTCCCTTTGGCGGATAGGCTGAAATTGCGGGAAGCTGTGAAGGATCTTAAAGCCCGCCGTGAAGCAGGAGAAAAGGTTCTCCGCTTGGTGGGTTTTCGGGTGGTGAGCCGGCGGTCCACTTCCGCCCTACCAGAGCCGGTTCTGGTGGCGCACGATCCCGGACTCACAATGTTAAATCCCTTCAGGTGATCTTAAGCAATGTGCGTAGCCTGCGAAACAAGCTGTGCGAAGTAGGCGCTCTTGTCGACGACTGCCGTCCAGATGTCCTCGCATTCACTGAAACGTGGTTGTCCACCGACGTCACGGACAGTGCAGTGTGCTTGCCAGGCTACGCACTGCTGAGATGTGACCACACCTCTGATCGGCTCGGAGGTGGTGTTGTTTTGTACGTTAACTCCGCACTTGCTGTCTGTAAGACGTATAGTTTCAGATCATCAGAGGGTGATGTTGAGGCACTCGCAGTTAACCTGTGTATTGCCTCCGCGCAACTTAAAATTGTGCTGGTCTATAGAAGCCCCGACAGCGTTGCTAAGGGGCTTGCTGATTTCATCCGCGAGCATTCGGCAAATAGGTGTTTAGTGATGGGGGACTTCAATCTTCCCGACGTTGACTGGCAGAATTTTTCCTGCGACGCTGTTACAAGGTGTTTGGCTACCGAGCTTCTCGAGCTGGCCTTGCATGCTTCCCTGCACCAATTTGTCGATCGGCCTACTAGATTCATGATGGGTCAAAACCCGTTCCTCTTGGACTTGATCTTCGCTAAATCCATTGATTTTGTCACGGATATTGTATACAACTCACCTTTCGGTGCTAGCGACCACGCATGTCTCTCATTTAAGTGCGCCCTTCGTCGTCAGACTAATGATCATCCCGACCGAGTACCAAATATATGGCGCGCAGACTTTCAGACAATGAAAGCCAAAGCCGCAAAGTCGCCTTGTGTCATTTTGGAAAGTGACGACATTCAAACGGCCTGGGACAGCTTTAAATCATACTTGAGTGAGCTCTCTCTCCCCCATATACCACTATCTGACAGGAATAAAACTAGGGCAAAGCCACCCTGCTTTGATTCTGCTGTACGCAAACAACTTAACAGACGTGCCAGATGTTGGCGTACTTATCTGCTCCTTCATTATGCACCTTCAAGCGATACCGTGAGGTTCGAAATGCCTGCAGGCAGTATCTACGTGGTGCTCGTCTACACCATGAAGTAGAGCTTGCTAGTACAGCCTCATCAAACCCGAAACGCTTCTTCGCTTATGTCAAAAGGCGAAGCAACATGAATTCGTGCATCCCAGTGTTGTTTGGCCCGGACGGCACTGCTGTTGTCACGGATCACGAGAAAGCTTGTTTGCTCGGAGAACAGTATGCTGGGGTTTATGTTAAAGAGTCACAGCCGCCGCATATCAGTCTCCAGGCAAAAGTTCCTGAGGGCTCCCACTTGGAGGAGGTTTCTGTAACCGAGGCTCAAGTGCTCCGGCTTTTGAGGCAATTAAATCCCAATAAAGCTGCCGGTGGAGATGCTATTCATCCCAAACTGTTGTACGAGTTGGCTGATGAACTTTGCTCTCCGATTACGCATCTTTTTGTGAAGTCTCTACGAGGCTGCTCTCTACCCAAGGACTGTAAGGAGGCTATTGTTTGCCGCATTTTTAAGAAAGGTGATAAGCACCTCCCTGATAACTATAGACCGGTCAGTTTAACAAGCGTGCTGGTCAAGTTATTGGAAAAGCTCGTGAGGGACGTTCTCGAAGGACATTTGAAAGCGTTTGAGTTGCTTAATCCTTCTCAGCACGGTTTTCGTAAGGGCTATTCTTGCCTTACTAACTTGTTAACGGCTCGTGAACACTGGGCCGAAGCCGTTGATTGCGGGAAGGCAGTGGACGTGCTGTTTATTGACTTTTCCAAAGCTTTTGACACCGTTCCACATTCGCGCCTTTTGTACAAGCTGAATTCCTTTGGTATTTCTGGACCAATCTTACGATGGATTTCAGCTTTCCTAATCGGAAGGGAAATGTGTGTGCGGGTGGGTTCAAGCCTGTCCCTCCGCCAATGTGTTCTCAGTGGCGTGCCGCAAGGTTCGGTTCTTGGCCCCCTTCACTTTATACGTTAATGACCTACCTGATGAATTGGGTGTGCCATCCCTAATGTTTGCGGATGACTTGAAACTCTGGTTCACGATAGACGAGCCGATTGGTCCACTGACCCTACAGGAGGCTCTGGATAGACTTTGGGACTGGTCAATTTTGTGGCAGTTGCCAGTTAATTTAGGGAAATGTTCCGTTCTACGCGTTGGTCCGAATGACCCGCCGACGCGTTATTTGCTTGGCGGCAACGAGGTACCGCGAGTTCAACTCCAATCTGACCTCGGTGTTTTGCTGTCATCTGACTTCAAGTCCAGTGAACACTGGAAGACAGCTGCTCGCAAAGGCTTCAACATGTTGTGGATGATCCGCAGGTCATTCGGGACCATGACCACCGACATGTTTGTTAGACTATTTTCGGCTTTTGTAAGGCCGCACTTGGAATACTGCGTCCAGGCTTGTCCTCCATGCCTGGTTCGTGATAAGATGGCAGTTGAACGAGTCCTGCGGTCCGGGACGAAAATGGTGTACGACTTAAAGAAGCTGACGTACCCGGAGAGGCTACGTAAGTTGGATATGTTTTCCATGTATTACAGGCGGCTTCGGGGCGACTTGGTCCTTACATATCGTATATTGATGGGTCAGGTTGGTCCTGATTTGACTGGACTGTTTCGCCCAACTCGAATGCCAACTCTTCGTGGCCACCCATTAAAGTTGCACAAACCCCGGTCTGACCGGGTTTTGGCAACTTTTAGATTATCGCGTAGGGTTATAGCTTATTGGAACACATTGCCTGCAGACGTCGTGATGGCACCGACGTTGAAAGAGTTCGAGCATCGACTTGACGCTCTCGGTCTGCAGTTTAAAGTCTTCCCCTTCGTGTCTTAAACTTTTCTTCGTCTATTACGGCTTACGCTTCTTTAACTCATTTTAACTTACATCTTAATATTGCCTACGATATTCGATTAGCTTGTCTTCTCCTCTGTTTTCTTTTCTTTACTGACACTACTGTTTTCTTTTATTCTTCACGTGGCCGGCACAGCGGGGACTGCTAGTGCAGAGCACGTGGGCATTGTTTGGTTGACCATATGAATCGTGTGTGTTGATTTGGCTCTCCTTTGGCACATCAAGGCACCGGTTTCCCTGTTGGATCAACGACGTTTTCGAAGGTGGAACATTCGCGGGATTTTCCTACTGTTCCGGTCCCAATTGAACTTGAACTTGCAACTCGCGACTGACCTGTGTGCTGTGCATGCTCCATTCCCCTAGCTAGAGCGTCCACGGTGTCGTTCATTTATAGCTAGGTAACAGGGAATCTTTTACTGTACCAATAAAAGTTTCCCTGCAACTCGATCCGTCTTCTGGAATCGCTCTCTGGGCTCCCGGTATAGGCGACCCTCTAAATTGGTGACCCCGAATCTGGAATAATCTCAACGCTGGATATTTGGAACTTTTCTCGGGTGAGCTCGTTCCATTTATTTTTCTTATTTTCCGGTTTATTTCGCATACGGTAGCCTATTTTTTGCGTCCTTTTTTAGCCATGGAATCTGTAGACCCTAAGGTAGAGCCTCTGCTAAGCGTTGTATCTCTCTCTGTCCCACCTTTTTGGAACATGGATCCTCTTTTGTGGTTCGCTCTTCTTGAGGCTGAGTTTTATAACCACAGAATCACTTCCGATTACGCGAAGTATAGCAAACTCCTGTCCTATCTCCCCAAGGAGATATCAATGCAGGTTCGTGACGTCATCATTTCTCAGACCGAAAGCCGCTATGAGGCTCTCAAGGAGGCCACGATTAAGCGTGTTATGCCCTCTGAATACTGAATACTGAATACTGTATTTTGGAGCAAGTAGAAAATAATTCTGTACAACTCCATCGGGTGATAATCAAAAAAAACATATTTTAAAAAATAAATAAACACGTCCGGTGGTTATCATGAGATGGTTCAGCAACTCCTTCTGTAGCACACAAAATGCTTGTTTACACAGTGAGTCACAAGTGGGTGATATCGTTGTCAAGTGGCAACCGTTCTCTGAAACGTATGTTAGCGAAGTGTACATCCAACAAAGATTTGAATTTCTGCACAGATTCGGCCTCGACGACGTGTTCTGGCAGACTGTTCCAGGCGTGTACAACCCTCCGCTCGAAACACAGGGGGTGTGGGATTTTCTTCAGATCAGGTACCACGAGTTTGTACCTGTGCCCACGTGTGGTGCATGGTACTCGCAAGTGGAGTAACGACCTTAGCATGGGGAAATGACCGAGATGTAAAATACGGTAGGTCATGATAAGATCCACTCGAACACGGCGATATGACAAGGTGTAGAGCCCAAGTTTCATGCACCGGTTTTCATACGATAAGCCTCTCAAGCTGGGGATCAACTTGGTGGCGATGTGTTGTACTCGTTCGATCTTTTGCGCTTCGCCGCGAGTGATCGGACAATATGCAGGCGAGCCGTACTCTACCATTGGTCTGACGATGGAAGAGAAGAGGCGAGTGGCGACGTCCTCAGACCAAGTGCAGAAGCTGCGTTTCAGCGCCCAGAGCATGCGCAGTCCGTTTCGATACAGTTTGTTGGTGTTGTCGACGGACTTCAAGTCGCAGCGTGAGAGTACACCTAGGTCTTTCACGGAAGGTGTGGGATGCAGTGGTTGGCCGTCTAGGGTGTACGTTCGTCCGTGAACAGCCTTCCCGAGACTCATGAATAGGGACTTGACCGGGTTGACCGGTAGGTGGACTTCAGCAGACCATACTGCGAGGCGGTCGAGGTCTTGTTGGAGAATGTCACAGTCATCGAGAGTATTAATTTCTCGCCAAATTTTGAGGTCATCCGCAAACAATGCACACGGCGACCGTAGAAGCTGGGGCAGCTCGTTGATGTGGATGAGAAACAGAGTGGGTCCCAGTACCGTACCTTGAGGTACACCACTGGTCGAGGGATACCAATCGGTTAGATGGCCGTCCACCTGTACCCTCCACTTTCTTCCAACGAGAAATTCATGGATCCATCGATGTAACGATCCTCGGACACCACACGACCTTAATCTGTCTAGAAGCAATTCATGATGGACTTTGTCGAATGCTTTGCTGAAGTCGATGTAGATTACGTCAACGGACTTTCCCCGGTTCAGTGCTTGCAACCATTCCTGTCTCGTCACAAGTAAGTTTGTAACACAAAAGTTCGCCTGCAGCAGCTTTTCAGGGAACTGCAGCTGGGCGACAAACTGCCCTCAACCCTGCTACGTGAGATGCAACAACTCCTTGGTTCCTCAACCATGAACGAGACTTTACTTCGCAAACTATGGCTACAACGGCTACCGGAAAACACGCAAGCGATTCTCGCTACAGTGAGCTCCGTTTCGCTCACTCAACTAGCAGATTTAGCAGATCGAGTTATCGAGCGATCACAGCGACAAGCCGACGCCAGCTAGATGAATGCCGTCGCGTCCCAGGTCACTTCTATCACTGGCTTACAGTCAACTATAGAAGCCCTGCAAACACTTAGTCGCCAGGTCCAGCAACTTATTATGAACCGTCGTCATCATGGCCGCTCAAAATCGCCCTGCAAACGTTCTAAGTCTTGCAACAGGCAAGCTAGCTGTTGGTACCATCAGCGTTTTGGTACCGCAGCTCATAGATGTGTAAAGCCTTGCAACTTCGCCGAGAAGCAGGTAAACTTCTCGGCCGGTCCGTAACGGCGACTGACGCGACCGGCCAACACCAAAGTTGCCTCATCCGCGTTAGGGATTTAACTTCTGGCACCGAGTTTCTAGTCGATGCTGGAGCCGAAGTTAGGGTTATAACCCGTAGCCCAGATAAGGTCGTCTCGCCATCGCCGACCAATGGCACACCAATCGCAACTTTCGGCGAAAAGCTGCTAGCGCTCAATTTAGGCCTCCGGCGAACCTTTCGCTGGCCTTTCATTATCGCTGCCGTGCCTTTCGCCATCATAGGCATAGACTTTCTTCAACGCTTCGACCTCATCGTCGACGCTAAACGGAAGAAGCTTATCGACTCAAGGACACAGCTCAGTGTTATCGGGACTAGCGCCAACGTGGCTGCTATCACTCCCATTCGTGTCCTACCTCAAGCTTCACAACCTTTTCTAGAACTTTTCAGCAACCATCCTAAACTCGTTCGCATTCTGAACGACTTGCCTCCTGTGACGTCCAACGTCATGCATCACATTTGTACTAAGGGCCCACCTGTTTCGGCCCGCCCTCGCCGACTAGCCCCGGACAAGCTCAAAGCTGCTAAGGCGGAATTCGAGCAAATACTTGAACTGGGAATCATCCGCCCGTCCCAAAGTCCATGGGCATCACCATTGCACATGGTACCGAGGAAATCCGGTGACTGGCACCCCTGTGGTGACTACAGGGCACTTAACAAAGTTACCGTTCCGGATAAGTACCCTATCCCGCACATGCACGACTTGACCTCAGCTGTAGATGGCAAGTCTATCTTTAACAAAGTCGACTTAGTTCGCGCCTACCATCAGATACCTGTGGCGCCAGACGACATTGCTAAAACAGCAGTCATCACGCCATTCGGCCTATTCGAGTACCTCAGAATGCCTTTCGGCCTCAGCAACAGTGCCGAAACTTTTCAGCGTTTCATTCATGAGGTAACGCGAGGACTCGAAGGCGTTTACCCTTATTTAGATGACATTCTCATCGCGAGCTCTTCTGACGAAGAGCATCTTCATCACCTCTACGCACTCTTCCAACGCTTGACGCAACATGGGGTTAGCGTCAACCCCGATAAATGCGAGCTTGGCCAAAGTTTCATCGACTTTCTTGGCCACCGCATATCTGCCTCTGGTATGGAAGCTCTATCAGACAAAATCCAGGCACTGAAGGACTGTCCTGCTCCCAGTTCCTTCAAACAGTTGCGCCGATTCCTTGACCTGGTCAACTATCGTAGACGCTTTATACCTAACTGCGCGAGCATTGCTCAACCAATGACCGACTTGCTCCGCGGTAAACAACGGTCTTTTCATTTTACAGACGACGCTAGACTGTCTTTTGAGAAGCTCAAAGACGCTATCTCCAACATAGCGCTTCTTGCCCATCCAGACACGTCTGCACCCCTCTCCTTGACAACTGACGCCTCCGACACTGCCGTCGGTGCAGTTCTTCAACAACTCATCGACCATCGATGGATGGATATCTCTAGGTTTCTTTTCGAAACGCTTACAACCTGCCGAATCGCGTTACAGCACCTTCGGTAGGGAACTGTTAGCTATCTACCTAGGTATCAGACATTTTCGTCACTACCTCGAAGATCGACATTTTACAGTGTTCACTGACCACAAGCCATTGATCTACGCAATCAATGACGCAACAGACAAGTATTCTCCGCGGGAAACTAGACACCTAGACTACGTTTCTCAGTTTACGACAGACGTACGACATGTCTCAGGTGCTCTCAATCCCGTCGCGGATGCACTTTCACGCATTCAGCAGATCAGCTTATTGCCTGGCACCAACATCGACCTATCCGCTATGGCTGCTGCCCAACAAGCTGATCCCGACGTACACAAGCTACGACGCAACTCCTCGTTGGAACTACTCGATGTTCCACTAGCTTCATCTGAGGGGACGATTCTTTGTGCTGTTTCACAACCGACCCGTAGTTCCTACGTCGATGCGTCGACGAGTTTTCAACGCTCCACACAACCTGTCTCATCCCGGTATACGTGCTTCGCAGAAGCTCGTAACCGAACGCTTTGTATGGCCCAACGTCAATCGCGATGTCCGCCTTTGGGCACGCGCATGCTTAGAGTGTCAGCACGCCAAGGTCTACAGACACACCAAAAGCCCATTTGGCGTCTTTCCAGCTCCTGACTCTCGCTTTGCACACGTCCATATCGACCTGGTCGGACCTTTGCCTCCATGCAAAGGCTACGTGTACCTGCTCACTGGTGTCGACCGATTCACCCGTTGACCAGAGGCAATTCCGATAGTCAACTGCTCATCTGAGACAGTTGCGCAAGCTTTCCTAGAACGCTGGGTAGCTCAATTCGATTGCCCAAGCGTAGTCATCACTGACAGAGGATCACACTTTGACGGATCCTTCAGCAAACTGCTCAACGTTCTTGGTTGCCAACATAACCGAACCACTGCATACCACTCTGCAGCTAATTGGATGGTAGAAAGGTTCCACCGGCAACTCAAATCATCACTCTGGGCCCCATCTAGCACATCCTGGCACGAAGCACTTCCGCTCGTTCTCTTAGGCATAAGAAACACGATTAAAGCGGATTTGCACGCCGCTCCATCGTCGCTAGTCTTTGGATGCACACAACGCTTACCTGGTGAACTCGTCTCACCAAAAGCGCCAACAACCCTCGACTACGGCGACTACGCTGCTCGCCTATCTCATCACATGCAACAGCTTCAGCCTGTGCAACCCAGAGCACAGAGCTTGCGTACCAACGTGGACGAACGCTTAGCTACTTGCACGCACGTGTTCGTTCGCACTGACAGCGTACGTCGGCCACTTCAACCTCCTTATTCTGGTCCGTACCGTGTTGTACGCAGAAGCGACAAGACGTTTACCATTGACTACAATGGTAAGACTGAGAAGATCAACATCCATCGACTCAAGCCAGCATTCCTCGACAAGTCTGACTCTTCGGTGCAGCAAGCACCTTCACAGCTTGTGCCATCACAGCTGGCACCGCAACCTCAGACGAGTCAGTCCGGTCCAACAGAACCGACAACCTCAACCGACAGCACTCCTACTCGCCCTACTATCAATCGACGCAGTAGGAAGCTCAAGCCTCCAGTTCGTTTTTCGGACTTCGTTCGCACTTACTATTTTACATAGAACATGCCTTCGAAATTTTCTGCTCTTACCAAACGTTTTTGAAAATCCACAAAAAAAGATCAAAACCTTTTGAAACTATCAAAAAAGAGCAAAACCTTTTGAAAACCCAAAAACAGCTTTGCACGTTTTCGCTTTGCACTGTTTTGTGTATGGCTTTGCATTTATGCTGCTTTTTTCATTTTGCTTTCCATATACACCGCCGGTTGGTTGCACCTCGGTTTCACTTTCGCTGGATCCCCGCACCTCAATTGCAAGTGGAACGATTTTCCTGCTCAACCGCCTACGTGAACTTCACTAACTGTCCCCCGCAAAGTTTTTTTTACCGTTTCGACACCGTATGGAGGACACGGGTGGGAGCCCGCTAGGGTCCGATTGCATGGTTCTCTCCCAGCAGCTGCATCAGGTTTCACAACCTGGTCTCGCAGAAGGCTGGCCTGCGACGGACAGTCCTCACGTAGATCATTGGTTGGCATCAACATTGACCTCCAATATAGAGGGTCGCCTGCTCCGGGAGCCCGGAGAGCGATTCGAGAAGACAGATCGAGTTGCAGGGAAACTTTTGTTGGTACAGTAAAAGATTCACTGTTACCTAGCTATAAAAGAATG